AAAACACTCGTGGCGAAAGACTGCGTAGGCTAGACCAATTCGGAAGCTTCTCTACGGGTTCCATTGGGAATCGGATCTTGTTCTGCTGCAACCTGCCTGTATAGCAGGGGCTCATAGGCCGGTTTCGCCGACGTCCCCACCCACAGGCGCACGAGTTTTGGCGGAGTTGTAGAGGCTGCACCATTTAGAAGGAACGCATCTGTTGAAATTACATCAGATTAGTCGTGACCCGAGGCAATAGAAGGCAATTCGAGTCTTTCTGGCTTACTGTAATAAGCCCTTTACGCAGCGGCATACAATTGAATCTCGTGCGAAGATCTCTTTCATAGCACTTCTTCTACTACTTTCAAGACGCCATACATTTCGCAAATTGAGATTTTTTTTGACTTTTTCGTCGCCGTACTCTACTCTCCACCGATGCTTCCTTTTTCCAACTCAATAAGGGTACACCTTAAAGTTATCGTGATCATACCTTCAAGCAGCGCCTTTTATCATTGTCTCTCACTTTAGAATTTTTTTGTTGCGCTATAATTACTTCAAAGACAGCCACCTTGTATCTGTTACGGCCCAATGGATTTTGTTGCACAAACTCAGTCATGAGAGTAAAGTCATTCACACGACGCATTCCTTTGAATTCAGCAATAAGACCTTGAACACCCTTTCGGAGCGTTTCTTCCACGAAAACCTTCACCTGAAATTTTATCAATGTTGGTAGAAGTACCCGCATTTGGGTACCTAAGCTCTACTATGAGCGCAGGCTCGGGCTGTCAGACCTGCAACCTTTTCTCGTCTTCGGTTCGTTCAGATTGTGCAGGAGTTTTTGCCCTGAAGAGTCAGTTCTTACTCGAGGTTTCGAAATTCCACGTAATTTGCCAATGTTCATTACTGGCTCGGAAACAGGATAACGATTTTTACCGCGGTCCTTTAAGCGGAGTTTTTTTCGTTTCTTTTGGTTTTACAACGTCTTCCTCTACGGTCGTTCTTCCTGGTCTCTTTTTCCTGGTCCTCTTCTTCCCTTTTTTACTGAAATGATCATATTTCCCGTAAGTGACATCCATGTATCAAGCGCCTAAATCTTCAAACTACAACCTTGAATTACTCCTACGATGGTCAAGATAAGCTCGTTTGAAATGAACCTGATATCGGTGAATGTTCCTGATGCATAAGGTAGCTTAAAGCTGTCGACAAGTTCCAATCGCATTTTTTGGGTGTACAAAACTACAGACCAAATCTCGGCAGTTGACCAAAGTGGACTGTAGCGAAACCAACCGCTCGAAAATCGGATGTACCGTAAAATGACACTGGTCTTTTTCTTATCCATATCATTGAGTACTAAAGTTAGATACTGATTGGATCCTCTTAAGACTAATGCTCATTTTGAAGGACATGAACAAGTAGGGTGGGCTAGACGTGAAAGTTCAGGGATCGTTTGTGTGGTACAACCTGACATTTGAATGAAGACGTTCTGAACGAAGCGACGTTATACTCACTTTTGAGCAATTACCGTCCTTACCAGATTCTTGTACGGGTTCGAGTGCCTACTTAAGGGTTAGATAATCCTGCACCCATGGGCTGAGCAGACCCAGCTCAATAGTTATAGATGCAGGGGTGAGAAAAACCTAGAGTGCACGTTGACATTGAACAGTTCCCAAGCCAATGATCCAATCGACACGAAATGACCGGGCCCATAGTGAGAATTTTTTCGAGTCTATGAGTTTTGAGAGATTTTTTGTCTTCAGTAATTTATGTGGGTGGACGGTCACGAAAGTCTCCACCGTACCTTTTCGAGGCGAGACGCGGACGTTACCCAAGTCAAACGTGTTCTCCATCCCTATCTGTGGGATGCTTTGGAGCATGTCGAATAGCTGGCGAAAGCAGTAGGGCTGTTAAACACTTCGGTGTGATACTCCCTTTTTGTCGAAGCCTTGGCTTCAATCGGCTTCCCAGTCAGATCTGTGGGAAAGATGTACCCGTGAGCAGAATGACCACGCACATGACGTAGTAACCGCACAAGACCTAAAGTTGAGGTTAAGCAGACGCACCCATCACCTAGCAGCATCCGTGAAGAGTTTAAGTGCAAAATGTTTCACCCTACTCCGTTTTCCATATTTATACGGATCACTAGCACAACTGATAGCGATTGACACATTGGATGATAAAGCTTTTATACTAAACTTATAACCAACAACAAAATACAAATAATTAATCAAATAGATAATCAATAATAATAACTGATAGAACTCCAAATAGCATTGCTGATAAAAGTCCATCCTCAACGTAGTCACTCCTGCGGCGGTCACCAAACCGCGTCGCAACCGCACGCGCCTAATGCTGGCCGTCTCAGATTTGGCTCAAAAGGGATTTTTTCTTTTGATAAACGAAAACTATGTACATCCAAATAGTACAATACTCCAAATAGAATTCCTCTGACAAATATTAAAATAAACTGAAAAAAATATGAGAACTAAATTAGGAATATCTACGAGACAGCATCGTAGTTAATATTTTCAGGTTATACTACTCCAATCGAACTCGTCTTCAGACTCATCATCCACCATTTCATGACTACCATGTGTCATTGACAAACGATGAATGTTATTGTAATCTGAACAAATGTACTGACCGTTGTCATAATTTCTCTTTTAGTATAAAGTATAGCGAGGAGTAGTTGTTCCTTTTCCACAGTCCATTCATTTCTGTATTCATAGGCTGCTTCCATAGTCCGCCGGCCGGCNTGAAAGCAGCCATACTGTCTTTCGTTTCTACACATTCTTGACAATTAAATTTTTTTGTGTAGTGCAACTCAAAGTTGGAAAATATGGTGGAGCAGCGTACAAGGAAGTGGCATTCCGAGGAAAAGCCTTCTGTCTAAGAATGAGAGCGATTGAAGAGAAATGGCTGTCAGCGAATCCAAACAAAAAACAAACAGGTGGGGAGGTTCTCTATTTGAGTAATGATTTCAATTTGCTTTCACTGCGATCTCGTAAGGCATTTGTTCATGAACTTGTACTCCTTCTAGAAGCAAAAGTCACACTGGATCAGAGGTATACGACAATCACTTTTTGGTTGCTGTGATACGGGAACTAAGGCAAGACAGGCATAGATACTAGGAGAACTTCGGTGCATCTTTTTTTGAAAGTGGGGACGCAGTAAGAATAGCGTCTGAAAAAGATCAGTAAGAGGGATCATAGAAAGTAAAGAAACTCACCATTAATCCGTTGAAATTCGTCATTGGCGCGATAGGACATGTACTCAGGGAACATGCTACTCATGTAATCTGAAAAATACCATTTATTCCTTCTGCCATTATACCAATGAGCTCATCAGGTCTACTGTTAGGCTATTGTGGCAAAGGTCCTCGGACAGAGCTCACTGCTTAGGAGGATTACTGGTTAGCGAACTACTTGAGCTAGAACATACACTGGTCTTTAACAATTTATTGTTTACAATTCGGTCAATTTCGCGTTCGGTTGCTGCAGCGATTCCGAGTGAAATTCAAGTGACTGGACTCCTACGAAATGAAGTTGATCAATGACGTGTAACTTATCACCCCAACTGCTGGATTGCTCGTGGTTTGAAGGTGGATGGGTTAGTAACTTGAAGAAGGAATGATACTGCTGCACTTATGACTGAGTTCTACCGGTAGGCTTATTTGGATTTGAGTCTTAACGGGCAAACTTCATAAGTCCAACTCGTTGGCTAGCAACAATTACGATTGACTCCATTTCAGAATCCAAATGTGGCAGGTGAAGTTGCCACATTTAGATTCTGAAAGCCAGTTTTCAATAAAGCGATCAGCAAAGCTCCTGGTAGCAAAGTAGGTCCAGGAAGGTAGGAGACCTTGTGGCCGGAAGGTGGCTCAGTCTTATAGGTGCTACCGGGTTGTAGTTAGACATTACGCCGCAGTGTATTCCAAAGAGATCTGCCGAACTAACCACTGAGACGTTCGGTGTCCACATTGCGTAAATCATCCTC